GGCCACGGCCCTACACTCGGCCAGGTGGGCACCACACCCGGGGAAAAGCTGCCCAGGGACCTGTGCTGGACCACAGCGTGGAGCTGCCACCTCCATGGGAAACTCGGAGCGGTTCTGGCCCGTCGTGCTGGGGAGCTGCTGCCAGCCCTGAGGGAGCAGGGAAAGCCTGAGGGGCAGCTCCCATCTCTGCTCTGTCAGCGGGGACAGGACCCAGGGGATGGCTGGGGCTGTGTCAGGGAGGTTTAGGTTGGATTTCAGGAAAGGTTCTTCCCCCTGAGGGTGCTGGCACTGCCCAGGTTCCCCAGGGAATGGGCACAGCCCCGAGGCTGCCGGAGCTCCGGGAGTGTTCGGACAACGCTCCCAGGGATGCCCAGGCTGGGATTGTTGGGATGTTTGTCCAGGGCCAGGGGACTACAAGCAGGTAAAACCGTCTTCCTAGGGACTCCCGTGAGGAAGGAGAGCCCAGCTCTGCCCTAGTGACAAAGCTGCACAGATCCTCCTCCTCTGCGACGTCCAGTGGCGGTGTGTGCAACCCCTCGGTCCCCCAACCCAGAGCTGCGTCCTTCAATAAAGGCCTTTTTAAAAGGAGCTAGTCTCCTGGCCTGTTCATAACAGCTGGACTCGATGATCCCTGTGGGTCCATTCCAAGTTGGGATATTCTCTGATTCTCGCTGCTGACAGCAGAGCAGCCGACACCACCCACCCACCCCTGTCACCCATGGGTGCCCAGCCTGCTGCTGGCACATCCCTGGCAGTGCAGGGCCATCCCCAGCTGCCAGCCCCAGCTCCAGCTCCAGCCCAGCCTTAACCCTGGCACATCTGCCCAGCCCCAGCTCCAGCCCAGCCTTAACCCTGGCACATCTGCCAGCACAGGCTCAGCGCTGCGGCAGCTTCGGGGCACGGGGGAAGCCTCAGGGGTGGGAGAGTGGTAGCGTGAAAGCTTCCCCATCACTTGCATGCCAGGCCAAATGGATGCAGAGAGGTTTGCACTCAGATGGGCTTTTCCCAAGTCCAGCCCTTACAATATTTCATGGAAGAACAACTCATTTGACAGCTCTGAGAAACAGCCTGGAGGAGCAGCACCCAAAGGAAGGCACCTCTCACCCAGCTCCAGGCTGGCTCCCCTTGGCATCAGGGGCAGTGACAGGAGCTGTGCCAGCTGGGATTGCGTTGGCAGGACCGTGGTGCTTGGACGAGCATGGCCCCAGCATGTTCCTGCACATCACAATGAATTATCACTGAGCAACTCCTCTCCAACACACCAACAAAAGCCATTTTTCTGCTGCACTGTCTGCCTCTTCACTGCTGCTTTTCCACTCGGAGCACTCCAGTTTCCAATGTCTGGGTGCCAAGGGGCTGGGTTTGGGTAACACCAGGTCTGCCACCACACTGCTGCACCATTTTCCTTCACCTGCCTCGGTTTCTGCACTCCTGAAGGAAGGTGTGGTGAGGATTAGCCTCAGCAGCATTGCTGAGCTCTTCATTTTGCCCAGGAGAACAAAACTAGAAAGACAGCAGAGAACTCCTATCCCAGGCCAGGCTGGATGGGGCTTGGAGCAGCCTGGTCTGGTGGCAGGTGTCCCTGCCCGTGGTAGAGGGTGGGACAAGATGATCTTCAAGGGCCCTTCTAACCCAAACCATTCCATGATTCCAACAGATCCTGAGGCCAGTCCTTCCACTGATTTCTGCTCAAGCAAAGCCCCATTACCCAGCAGTCTGAAACTCTGTGTCACCTCAGCCCTCCCCTAGCTCCGTGGCACTGCTCCCCTCCCGCCCTGACATCCCTGTCCCACTGCTTCAGGCCACATCTTTCCAAACTCCTGGGAACAGTTTCTCATGCTGGCATGAAGAAAAAACACAGGTAAATGTTTCTGGAGCCTGTCAGCTCTTGCCGGAGCTCGCTGCTTCCTTGTTGACACAG